CGCTGAACCAAGTTCAGGCTTAGCACGAGATCGTCTGGGCACCCAGCGGGGGCGCCCTGGGAGGCGGCGGTGGCTCTGTCCTTGCGACAGGTGCACGCAACTGGTTGTCGCACTGCGCGTCTCGGCGGCTGAAACCAGGCCGGTGTTCGAGTCACGACGCCGCCTACTGCAGATGGTAAGACTCGTGAGCGAAAGCTCGAAAGACAGCGAATCTTAACTCGTGAGCAAGGGATCCCAAAGTCTCAGTTCGCGACACGGCGGTCGCTGCCTACCAGTGAGTTGGAAAGCAGGGTGCTCGGTCAGTTGATGGATGCTGAGGTATTACCATGTACGATTGAGGCCAGAAGGCATCAAGCCAGAGGCCAGGGAGTCACGTGCTGTCTGCAGTCCTGCAGTCCTCCATCCGATGGTTCTCGTGCTGGTAAGTGCTTGGCATGGCGGTCAGCCCAGCTCTACGCGTGACTTGATCCTCGGTGCCCTGGAGCTAGCCGTCAATCGTGTTCCACATTGTGCGGCCCAAACCCGGTTGAATGCGCTTGTAAGTACTTCGGCAGCTGCTTGCTGCCCCTCCCCCATCCTCCAACGAAAATCGATGAAAGAAGCCAGCGGTAAGGATGAACTGTTGACTAGTCAGTGATGTCGGGCAGCTCCACCTGCGACGGCGGCGGCGGTGGGGCCCTGGGACCAGGTCAGCACCGTCAAACCCCTCCCGATTTTGGCTCAGCAACAGCATTGCGATTCGAAGACAGTGAAGGAGCACATGAACAGGAACCCTGTCACAACGAAAAGGATCGCAGGAATCGCATCGCAAGATCTCCAACAGTAAACGACTTCTCGCTCTTGCGCCTTTTTTCTGCCACGGGGTGGGTCGAGGCTGTCTCTACATGGATCTACATGGCCTAGCAAGCCTCAGTAGCAGGCCCGCAGAATTCGTCGTCCACCCACATGCGCTCGGAACCTTCCTTGTTTGTGCTAGAACAGCCCGCCTGACACACAAGTCTGTTTCGAAAGATGGAGATACCATGCGCTTCGACTGCTGATGGCTGATGCTTCGACTGGCAAGTATATTTCTTTGATTCAATTTTCCAGGATCCGGATGCGGATTAGAGATCGGGAAACTTTTCGGCCGCGCCTCGAAGTTGGACATGTGGCAGTAGCCGACGACTTCGCCGCCGGTGAACATGCTGCAGCATCGTGACTTAGATTCGGAGCCACGCTGGCCCTCCAAGGCCGACACGCGACCCTGGAGGTCCCGGATCATCTTGAGCAGCTCCTTCGAAAATCACAACTCAGTCTTGGGATACTGGATTCGATTCCAATTAGAGGCCTCACAAGCCCTAGAGGCCCTAGCTTCCGGGTTCGGCCGCGCGCCTGGCTCACGTCCGAGTCCTTCTGCAACCTTAAGGCATCTTCACGAACGGCACCGGCGAAGAGGAGCCCGCAAGCCAGCACCGCAGCAGCAAGGCGTGCCATTGGGAACCGAGATGGATCGATCAAGCTGGAGGCAAGTTGGAGCCGCAAATGCTGCAGGCAGCACGGCCTCCGTCCCAACCCTGAAACTTGAAACTTGAAATCCTGTCAGGTGTCCGGCCCGCCCAGAAGCCTCGAACCTAGGCCTGACCAAAAAAAACATCAATCCCAAAGCTCAAACACTGCCAGGGCTCACATGCCACTTCAAAGGCTCGGGGCAGTCCCTCATCCCTAAGCCCCGAAGGGCACTCCCCCCCCCTTCCCGGGCCTCGAGGCCACCAGGAGGCCCAGCGCTTTTTGCAGCTCGGGCCCTGAGCAAAGACCCGGGTCACAGGCGGAGAGTGGCGAAGGGTCGCCGTAGAGGGAAGGGATTTTATGAGCTGAAAGCACTCTTACTAGAGTTACTAGAAGATTCTTTGGAAGCCTGTAAATACGGGAGGGTAGGCTCTCCGGTGAAGTTGCTCAAACTGACTTCCAAGCATCGGAATGCAGGGCCTGGGCCCCAGCCTCGCGACTCGCAGCTCAATTTCTTTCTTTGAGCCCCAAGCACCCTGCTAGGTCCATCTTCTCAAGCACCACGGCATAGGGAGTAGTCCCCGAGAAACCCTGCTGGCACTTGATCATGTATATTTATGCAGCCCTGGCCAAACAGCAAATTTGCCACGCTTCACGTCGATTCGAAGCTAATCCCTTCGTGGCACCTGATTTCTCGGGACTGAGGTCTTCTTATCGCATTGCATTAGCAAGTGCAAATCTGCCGAATTGTACTGCTATCTCGACATATCTCCCAAGTATGGATGACGAAAGGGTTCTTTCCAACACGACTCAGGCAAAAGAAGAAGAGCTCCAAAGGCATTGCCACGACTCGGTGCCTCGACAAACCTCACACTATGTCCGAACCATGGCTCGCCAAAGCATTCCAACAGTGTCTGGGACTTGGCCGAAGACCAGTCTAGCTGACGGTGCTCGCGTTGGGAGTCATTGGGCTTCGTTCCCGCCTCCACCTCTTTGCGCAGCACCTCGTGGCAGCAGGACTCCGGCATGTGTCTATTTCGCAGCCAGAGAACAAAAAAACAACATTCAACATTCGTTTTTTGCGCGTACTAGCATCACCACTCGCGCAATTAGTACTATCTGGCAATTTTTACAGTAAACTACTTTATTGTTCTTGGTACAAGCATTGTCCATTGCTTAAGCCATCGCCTGCAGCTGCCGCAGCTGCTCGGCTTCCACCTCTTGGTAGTGACGCCTGCATCAGGCACAGGACGCCAATTTCTTGGGGAAATGAAGAGAAAAGCCCGTTTTGAAGGATACGTGCTACTGCCAATAGTCCAGCCGCAAGAAGCAGCAGCAAAAATCGCAATCACAAGCTGTGGCTGTCGCCTCAGCTCGCGAAGCTCGGGAGCCTCCCAGGCCCGTCGGCGCCCGGCCTCCCGGGCTTGGACCTGGCGAAATCCGCTTCGGGTCTTGACTTGAGGAAAAGTAAAGCAAAGATGAAAAAGAAGGGTTGTTGAAAGTGCGTTTTCGTTTAGTGATGAACTTTGCAGGGTTTCGGCTTCCTGACCCTGTCCCTTGACACTCGACATGCGGCTTTTTGCTCCCTGCTAGCTCTTTGGCGACCCGTAGATGTCGTAGCGACGCTGAAGGGAGAGCGGCATCTTATTTCGGACGTCCTTGCCGCAGGGCACTGCGTTCAAAGAAGCTGGTGAGGAGATCCACTCAGGCCGAGTCATCTCGGGTCCTCGAGGGCATCGGGCTGAACCTCGACCACCTTGACACCAGAGGACGTGCCGTCGAACTCCGCCAGCACCTCTGTGAGCCAAGCCCTCTCTCCCACAAGGCCTGACCCGACCACACCCGACCCTTTTCGCCTTGCCCCAAGGGTCCACAGCCATGGCGTGTCCCCAGGACTGGCGTCGGTTACCGTCCTCGTTGTGCAACCCCGCCTGGCATGCGGTCTCGCCCTTTGGAGCTGCATGGAGCTACTGGGTTCGTGCACTCCGAGCGACTGAGTTCAATTTTCGATCTGGTCACATGCTTCCGCGATTTGAGTAGTGTTTACATTTGCGAGCAGACTCCATGCATGGAGCAAACAAAGGCCGAGCTGCCTGCGCGGCAGCGATCACGTAGCACTGGCATTCCACTGCTCGCGTCCGCATGAGCAGCTCCCAGTGCGCTTCGCCCGTCGGCATGGAGAATGCCGAGGGGATCAGTAAAATTTCCTTAGTGTAGCTAGCTTCAGCAACACAGGAAATGGTCTCTCGTCAAAGCTGCGATATTCACACGTGCGCTCCGAACGAGGGTCCTGCACGACCAGACCAGTGCAAACCGGGCGGCTGCTCCGTGTTCGAAGCGCAGCTGCTGGTACAGCTGCGGAAAGCGGACCTCGTGACATGTCCAGAGACTTGCACATGCCTAGCGAGCAAGGGAGCAGTCGTCATGAAGCGGTATGAAACGATATCGTGCTTGTTTGAAGCCGATGTGCATCGTAGCAAACAGTCACGCCCAGCTTGCCGACAACGCTGTCGCAGGCGACCACGTCCGCACCCGGCACGGTCTGCTTGGACTCCACCAATCCGGTGAATGGAGCATCGAACAGGTGGATCTTGCCTGTTGCAGAAGCCCGCCCCCGAGGTGCCGGACAACTCTCCCTCGACCGGTGCACACCAAGCAACGGTAGACAGACGCCATCTCACCCTCAGAGTTGAGGATCACGTGAGTGTTTAGAATCTTGTTGTCCTCGACGCCAGGAAGAGGTGCTAGAGCGGCTGCGATGCCCGAATCCCAAAGCTGGAGCGCCGCTCTGCCACCAAGTCTCGGGCTCGCCCTCCACCTTCTCTTGGAAGCCTGCGGCCGGTTACACGATGCTTACACACGATTCACCCTCACAAAGTGGACTTCTTGGTCTTTGCGGATGCGGACGCCTCCCAGCGACAGCCAGACCTGCTGCTCTTTGGCCAGGGCGGCATAGCCTTGGCATGTCTTCTCTGGCGTCGCATGGAGCGGAAACTGTGACAACGACAGGCCCCTTCACCACCCTGCACCACCT